TTTATTTCTCGCATCACAGCTTTCGTCTACTTACTGAATAATTTGCTGAAAAAAAAATACTGATCTATACATTTCAAATCTAAGTTTTCACTGTGCAACGCCAGGTAACTCAGCTAGTTACTATATATTTCCATATGCACAACACAACTGTAGTAGTAGTACAAATTGTGTGAAGATTACAATCACGCTATATAACCATGTCAAATTTTGATAAATGGGTAGAAATAGGAGAGTGTCTCGGGTTAAAAGACTGAACTACGAGAGTCTGCTAAACAACAACAACTAGAGAGAGAAGAGCGGCAACAGAGGAGAGGAAGAAAGACTGAAAGGAGAAAAGGAGAAATAAGAAAAGGAGAGAAATAAAAGACTGGAAATGGAGAGGAAGAGAGAGACTACAGATAGAGAGAATAAGAGCACAAAATGAGATTGCAAAGCTCACTCAATCGAAGGAAGAAGGACCTAAAAATGGCAATGGAATATGGACTATCAGCACTTGTGTTTAACATTTTAAATTATAATAAATAATTAAAAACAACGTGGTGTGGCGACATGGCAACAGCAAACTACATAGACTTCCAGAAGCTGAATCTCGGGACGAAGTGCCACTCTGAACCTATGGGCAACCCAGTGACTATCATAGAAAAATTAAATGGGGCCAGGTTCTTTTCAAAATAGACCTCAGTAAAGGTTATTGGCAAATCCCGATGGTGAGGGGATCTAAAGAGAAGACAGTATTTGTGACACCAGATAGATGCTACTAATTTATGAGGGTCCCATTTGGGATAGTCAACTCAGCAGCAACTGCATGATGAGGAGGATACTGCATTACACCACCGCCATCGAGCACTATATGGATGACATTCTGACACACACTGCAAAATTGGAAGACAACCTGAAGAAACTTAGACAACTGTTATGGCGAGTGAGTGCAGCAGGTCTGACCATCAGACCATCCAAGTGCTACATTGGATATTCTGTGCTGGAGTTTGTTGGACACAAGTTGGGCAACCAACAGATAGCCATTTAAAAGGAGAAGGTAGGGGAGACCGGGACTAATTGTTACAGGGGCAAGTTGATACAGTGCCTCTAGCTCTTCTTGAGATTAATATACGACGATAGTTCATGGACCATCGAACACGTGTTGCGCAAGCTTTGTTTTAATGGCAACATGAATTAGATCAGTCACGAAATAAAAAAGTTATGTACATTTTCTGTTTTTACATATCTAAGCTAAAAAAAATGTCTAGGAAATATCTATTTACTCTTTATATATACTGTGTTTTGATACTGTTCTTATTAGTTGC